CGCCCGGGGCTCCCGGCCCTCGTAGGGTGCCGCTCTGCAGCCCGCCCCCTCGGGGCGGCGAGGTCCTCAGCGTGGGGGACGGATGCCCGGGGTGGCCTGCGGCCTGCGGCCCGCGCTGCCTCGAGGAGAGCCGCTGCCGGGGCGGCGTTGCTGTGGAGAGGTCAGAGCCTGCCCAGCCCTCTCGGAGCAGCCTCCTCAGCTGCGCTTTCCTCCCGGGAGCCAGGAGCGGGACGTGCTGTCAAGAGGGACGTCTAGCGGGGGACTGAGGCCGGGTCGCTGGGAGAGCGGGAGGGGCCGAGGCCCGAGTTCTCTGTGGTTTCCAGACCGTGAACTCTGGCCTTGGGCACGTCGGTTAACGTCTCCAAGCCTCAGGGTCCTCGTCTGCAAAGCGGGCGCCCCTGCCTCACGGGGTTGGCGTGAGGGTTTACTGAGATAACACTTCGGGGTCCCTGGCGCGGTGCTCCTCAAACCTCTCATCCCCTTGCCCCCACGCTGGGGGGTCGCTGCACTACAAAGGGGCCCGTCCGCCTCGGGCCCGCCAGGGCTGAGGGCCTGGCGTCTCGCCCTGCCCGAGACCGACCAGGACTGAAGAGCCAGCCTGTGGTTTTCCAGCCGAAGCATTAAAGACCCTGAATCCTTCTGTGTTTGTTCTTCTTTCTCCTCCCGTGTTCCGGGGCTTGAGCGCCTCCGCCCTTCACACCTCACTGTAGCTGGGCATCACGTGGATGCCTCTCGCCGTCACGTGGATGCCTCTCGCCGTCACGTGGATGCCTCTCGCCGTCTTGCGAAGCTGCAGGGTCCGGCGCCCTGCCCGCTGGCTGCTCTGCCCCTCGGCTGGCGGGGGCCGGGGGCCTGGTGTCTGCCGAGCGGCTGGGGGCAGGCCTCCTGGACAGGGCTGGCCAAGCTGGCCCGGGCTGTGCCGATGGGCCCAGCTTAGATGCCGTTTCCGGACACCCTCTGCTTCGAAATCAGAGAGCTTTGAGGTGTAGCCCCGCCCTGCTGTGCAATAAAGAATTTGGCCTATTCCTGGCTGCTGGGAGGGAGGCGCTCAACGCTGAGGAGTTTCCAGTGAGGGGGGCGTTTTTGTTCATGGCGCCCCTCAGACCACACTGAGCTTATGCTAAGAGTTGACTCAGGATGGGGCTGGCGGCCAGAGCATAGCGTGGGCAGAGGGCCGGCGTGGAGCTGGGTGACGTGGGGGGGGGCTGGAGGTTGAGCTCCCCCGGGTGGTCGGTGTTCAGGGAACTGGGCCTGTGGGTGCGCTGCCTCCGAGGTGGCCACCGGGGTGTGTCAGACGGTGCCGGCCCCTGATTCCACGGGGAGAGGACACAAGCTGCGCTCAGGGCCTCCCACACCTCAGCCTCCGTGTCGTCACGTGGCTGGTCTTGTCTTCTGGCCTTTGTAATACTACTCAGTGTAAGAACTGAGTCCTGTGAGTCGTTTTAGCAAATTATTGAGGGGGTCCTGGGAACCCCCGCACCTGTAGTTACCCGGCCAGAAGTTAAGTGGCCTGGGGGGGGCCTCTACTTGCAGGGGGGGCCGGCAGGTCCGGGGTCCCAAACCCGTGTGCACGGTGGTTCGCTTCAGAACTGCGTTACAGTGGTGCACCGTGGGCCATTACTCCTTCCCTCTCGGCAGTCTCAGGTGCCAAATAGGCTGGGCCTCAGGGTACAAAGCTTCGGATTAGGCGCTGGAATATTAGAGAGAGAAGCCACTGGGCCTTTAGGTGTGTGGCGGAGGTAGTCAGGGAACCTCCCTGGAGGAGGTGCGTTTCAGCAGCCCTTAGAGACTGGGAGACTGGGGAGTTGGGGCGCTAGAGAAGGGCATTGTGTCCGAGCATCGCATAGAAGACTGGTGTGGCCTGATCCAACCAGGAGAAAAAGGGGGGGAGGTCAGTTGGTGCCGGCTTGTGAAGGGTCTCGGCTGCCGCCTTAATGGCTGAGGATTTGGAGTGCGGGGCGGGGTGAGCTGCAGTGCACGCCTGTGCGCACGCACTCAGCCGCCCGGCAGTAGGTGGGCACGCGGGCGGGCGTGGGGCAGGCAGTGTGGGTGCTCGCGGTCGGGGGCGGGGTGCAGAGGAGGGGGGCAGCGGGAGACAGCCGTGAGAGTCCCGAGGTGGGCGTGGGACCTAGAGGCCCGGTGATGACCAGAAGGCACAGGTGTGGCCGTCCTGGCCGGGTTGGCTTCCAGTGGGGCTGTTGCCTTCCGTTGTTGGGGTGCGTCTTTTCAGGGACAGGCCGGCTTAAGCCTGCCCACCTTCTCCCAGGGGACTTTATTCTCCCAAGGCTGCTGCAACAAAACAGCACGGGCCGGGTGGCTTGAAGCACAGACGTTCATTTCCTCAGCCCCAGAGCCGGCAGCCCAGGTCTGGCTCCTCACTGGCACCTCCCGGGCCTGCCCCTGGGCACACTCCCCGGCCTCAGCCTCCCGGAAGGACGCTGGTGACTTCACATAGCCTTCAAGCCCCTCCAAGTACAGTCACCGATTTGGACTTCAGTGTTGGGACTGGGGCGTGGGGGTAGGAGAGTTCAGTTCTTAAAGGCACCCCAATGACACGGCTCCCCGCTTTTGCTGTCCCCCACCAGTGTCAAGCTCCAGCAGAATAGGGTACTCGGAGCGCCTTTGCTTCAGGTTGCGGGGGGCCGGTGCTGGCTGGAAGACTCTCCCGCAGACCAGCCTACTGCTAATTCACTCCGGAGCATTTTCTTCAGCGCAGATGTTCTTAGGGGAAGGAGCTGGCTGAGCCGAAGGGAACCCGAGACTTCAACTGCTACAAAATGATAATGTGGGAAGAATTTTAAAATCAAATTGCAATGATTTGGAATCACCTAGAGCTCTGAAGTCTGCTACAGTTGCTATGGATGGCTATTTACATATGAGTTATTTAAAATGAAGTAAAAGAACTTCCTATTCCTTGGTCACCAGCCGTATTTCAAGCGCTCAGTAACCACGTGTGGCTGGTGGCTGCTGACGAGCGGGCAGACGGGAGTCTCCACCCCTGCGGACGTTGGGCCGATGGCGCAGGCCCGGCCACCAGCAGCTCCCAGCCACGCCGTGAACGCCAGGTCATCCGTGAAGATGGACAGAACGTGCGTCCCTGCTCCACGTGAGATTCTGGTTTGGGAGCGGGGAGCAGCCCGTATCTCGTCTCTGCGCGCTGGGCACACGGCCAGGGCAAGGCAGGGTTGCACCGAGTTCCCTGAAGGCAAGGATGGGGTCCCCAACATGTGGCCCCACACTGTTAATGGACAGAATGAGGGGAACCCCCAAACCTGCCCACTCTAAATAGGTGGTCATCCGCTACATCAAGTCAGGACATACTAGGGCATAAGACCTTCACTGGAAAAGAATGTTATTACAATCGGTGTGTAATAATCAGCACATAGAAGAGAGAGAATATAGTCTTCGAGCCAAGCCCCCCAAATTACCCACCCTGCACCGGCAAACAGGGTTGCTCCAAAGCTGCCCAGCGCGCCCCAGACGCTTGTCACCAGTCCGAGGCACCTTCTGGCGGGACCCATGGGAAAGGGGCAGGAAGGGCAGGAAAGTCCGCAGGGAAAGAGCAAGAACTGAACTCCAGACAAGCGCTGCCCTTGTCAGCCTCCGGCCACCCACGTCTGTTCTGTCCAGCTGTCTCCTGTCAGGTCCGCTGCATCTCCAGTGCAGGTCGAAGGCCCAGAGGGGAGCGCGGCTGCCTTTCAGCTTCCCCTCACACCCCCTCCTTCCCTCCTCAGGTGGGGCTGGAGCTCACGCTGTCATGACACCTGCCACAGCGGAGGTTTCAGCCAGGTGCAAGGAACGCGGGAGCCCTGTCTGCAGGTTGACCCCAGACGGCACACCCAGTCGTGTCCACCCCCCAGTTTGGTGCTTTTGACCAAGGATGGGCTCACGTCCTAGTTCGGAGGCGAGATGGGGGCTTACAAGGCCCCGCAGCCGCTCTCGTGCTCGGCTCACACACACCCCAAAGGCCAGGCCTGTGCTCGGGCTGGGGGTGCTTCGGGCTGGGGGTGCTTCGGGCTGGGGGTGCTTCTGGGAGGAGCGGCTGACCGGCGGGAAGCTGCTCTTTCCTCCCCCTCCGCCACCGATCCAAGGTGGCTTGAGAGAGGACGGGGTTTTGCGTGTGACCACGCGTGTCCTCCACTTGCCTTTATCACGCGGCGGGCACTTGCTGGCTCTATCGCGTGCCACACCCCAAGCTAGGCCCTGCGGGGAGCGGCAGGCATGGCTTCGGTGACTGCCCTCCCGCTGCGCACTCTGCCCTGGGGGAAACAGGCATATAATTGTGGTGCAAACCAAGTGGGAACCCCATCAGCCCTCAGCCAAGGGTAGAGGGCCGGCCAGTGAGCTAGGGCAGGGGTCAGCGCTCTTTCGCCACTTGCCAGATGCTGCCACCTCCCTGGAGTGGCTATTTGAAAGGGCACCGCTGTGCCAAGGGTCTCCAAGAACTCAGCCCCAGCGGCATGGGGTAGCGGTGAGGAAGGGTCTCGGCCGCAGGAACTGGGCAGGAAGCAAGGGCTGGCCGCAGCCGTGTGGGAGTGGGGAGTGGGGCTTTCTTTTCCATCCCTTGTTCTGTTACCCTCTTGGGAGGGGAGCTGGCAGCAGGCTGTGTCCAGACCCAAGAGCAGAAAAGACCAGAAACAAAGCCTGGGCACGGCTGGGCACAAGGCCCAGCAGGGAGGAAAGGAGATGGGGCCCAGGCAAGACTGGGTCTTGGCTCTTCAAGTGTTCTTGTTCAGGAGGACGTGAGCCAGCTGCTTGCTATTTTCCCCTAATGCTCCAAAGAAAGAAATCATTTCAGTTGGCGCATGAGACACTGAGGTTAGACACATGGATAAACTTCCCGCTCTGCCCATCAGGTGGTGCCGAAGGAAATGGCTTTGTGGGAAGTGGATTGCCGCCTCCTTCAGAGGCCTTAATGCCAGCCTGGCCCCGACCCAAGATTACCAGTCAAGGGTGAGTTATGTACGTGGGAAACGTCTCCTGGTTCTGTCCCTCCTGGATCTGGCCTTCATTCTGTCAAGAAAACAACAGTAACAAACTGCAGCAACTGCAGTAGAAGCCCCCCCCCACCATGTCCTCCTCCTGCCCCCCACAACCTGCACAAGGGGCTTAGCCTGAGGTGGGCCTCCAGGCTCTGCCTGCGAGGGGTGGCCGAGAGCCCAGAACAGGTCTCCCGGGGGGACTGTGCCAGGTCGCCATTTCAATTTTCATTAATTGAAACAACTTGACCCTGACCATTTCAGGCCAGCAATTTCCTGTCCTCTGGGTGGGGGCGTGTGGGGGACACGCCTCAGCAGGTCATTCTGTCCTTCCGTCTCCCCGGGTGGTGCTAACTCCCAGCGTGGCTGCAGGCGTCGGTCTCCGGCTGCACGGAGAAGGAGAGGCCAGTCTCACAGATGCTCAACCTTGCCTCCAGCGCTCACCTCTTATGTCTTTTTTTTTTTTTAAAAGATTGATTTATTGATGCATACAGAACTGGGGTACAGGTCAGAGGTGCAGGGGTGGTGAGAGGCTTCACCAGTGCAGAGTGGGGAGCAGAACAGGCAGATGGACAAAGGACACTGCTGAGGGGAGCAGCGGGGAGACAGGAGAGGTCTGCCGCGCCCTGTGGGTCACCTCTCTATTCTCTATGTGAGGATCCAACTCGAGCTGAAGTGGCTGCAGCTGGCTTCACAGTGCTACGCTTCAACCTGTTGGGCCACCAGGAAGGGCCTGGCCTTCTGTCTCCTTGGGAAGGACACCTGGTGTGTGCTCCCCAGCTAAGTTTTTGTTGTTTTCTTTGTTCAGGTTTAAGGCATGAGGGCTGAGGCAGTTGCTTCTTGGAGCCTCACCTGTGGGGGAGAAGCTCTCTGCTTGAGGGCTGCCTTTCCACTCTGCAAATCCGGGTGGCCTGGGCCCTCACCGTGGGGGCCACAGGTGCTGGGGGGGGGAGTGTGTGTGGCAGCCCTGTGAGGCCCCTGCTCTGAGTGTGAGTGAGTGTGAGTGAGGGCACCCTGCTCCTTACCTAGCGTGGCCGTCTGAGGGTGCCTCCCGGGTCAGGGAGTCAGCGTGCTCCCCAGGTGGCGCATTGTAAGAGACTTTCCAGAGGTTGGGGATCCGCTAGCTGGGGGGTGGGGCGCTCAGGGTCAAGTGTACAGTGTAGGCCACGGGTTCTTTCCTGATCCTGCATTTAAAAGCACCTTCCAGGTGCGCCCTGTGCCCGAGGTGTGGCGGCTATGGCTGCAGCCGGCTCTGCGTTCGCAAGCATCTTCGGGGGACTTGTTGTGTCTTTCCGAGTGTCCTCTGGCTCCGTTCGGGAGGAGGGAGCAGAGGAAGGCGCCCAGACACGAAGGGGAGCAGTCAGGGTGGGGGAGCGCATGGGAGGGTGCGCGCTGCAATCTGTGACTTGGAAAACAGATTTGCGGAGGCGGCGAGCAGCCCTGCGTGCGGCGCGCGCGGGGCGGGGGCGGGGGCGCTCTGGCCCCCAGCTCCTCCGCAATCCAATTAAATAACATTTAAATGCATAACCAGCCCGCGCGGCGATGAGGCTGGAGATTGCAGCGGGCGGGCGGCGGCCGCGCGGGCGGCGTTTTGTGGAGCTCAGCGATTCTGGCGGCAATTTCCCCGCTCGGCGCAGCTTTTACGAGCCGGCTCCGGCGCCCGCGCCCGCCCCGCCGCGCCCGCTCCTCCCGCGCCCCCGCGCAGCCGGGCCGGCCGGGCGCGGGCCTCTGCGCTCTGCGTCTCGCGTCTCTTTGTCTCGGCGTCTCTGGCCGCGCTCCTCGGCCCTTCCTCCGACTCCCTCGGCCGGTCTCCGGGTGTCTCCTCCGCGCCTGGCCCTGGCGCTGGCCATCTGTCAGCCTGTGCGTGCTCCCCTTGTCCGCCTGACGGTGCCCCCTCTTTCCTGCCGGTGCCCTCTCCGCGGCCCTTTGGCCGCCCCCTCACTGCCTTCAGTCTCCTTGGCTCTCGGGCTGCCGCGCCCTGCCCTGTCTCCTTGGCAGGCCGAGGCCTGCGGCTGGGCAGTGGTGACCACCCCACAGCTCCCCCCTGCCCCCTCACCTCTCCGCTGCCCACACTGCGGGCTGGGGCTGGAGGGGTGGGCGCAGGGGCCAAGGCAGCGGGACCAGGGAGGGGCACCAGGGAAGAGGGCTCAGAGGAGGGCGAGCAGCCGTGCTGAGCCCCGCAGGTAGCAGGTGGAGGCCGGTGGCGGTGCCGGCTGCAAGGGCCGGGCCTCCCGGCCGTCCTTTAGGAGCGGAGCAAAGAACCAAGGCTCGGTCTCCTCCTGCCTGCAGAGGGGGGAGGCTGCCAGAGCGCCAGGTTTTCCTGAAAGATCGGCTGGAGGGCGGGGTCCTTCCTGAGGACCGTGGGCGGCCCACAGGGCCGGAGACCAGCCGTCAGGAGAGGCCATTTTGTGTCTAGCGTGGACCGTCTCGGTTGTCTCCTCAGCCTCACCCCCTCAGAGCCCTGCGCAGCAGCAGGCGGCTGACCGCTGCCACAGCGTGGGCGAGTTCTGGGGTGCGCCGCAGGCGAGGCCGATGTGCAGATGTCCGTCTGTTGGAGGCCAGTAGGGGTGGGCAGGGTGTGGGGGAGGAACAAGTGATGGGCCTAGAGAGCAGGGGAAGGAGGCCAGAGGATGAACAGGCCACGGCAGTGGCAACTCTCCCGAGGGAGAGGGCGGTGGACAGGGGCGAAGTGGCCGCTTCCTTTTTTACTGGGAGTATTCCCGCTGTCCAGAGCCAGATTGGGAAGGCCGCAGGCAGTGGCCAGGGAGGCCGGAGGGGCTGGTCCAGAGCCAGGTGAGAGATGGGGGTGGGCGGGACCAGGGAGGTGGGGGTGGGGCAGTGAGGGTGCTCATGTTCTGGGGACCTTTCAGAGAGAGCCAGGGACTTGTTGAGCACCAGCTGGAGGCGGGAGGGTAAGACTGGGGTGCGGGAGACCGAGGGACTTGCCTGAGTGTCCAGAACTGGCGTCACCTGAACTTCTGGGGGGGGGTGTTTCTGCAGGATTTGCTGGTTTCTGGTGGTCAGCTGGGGCACTTCGGCTTGAGATGCCTGACAAGCTCCGAGCAACGGGTGTGTACTGGGGTCTGGTGGGCAGAGGGCACACAGGCCTGGGAGGGCTCCAGGTGGGAGATGTACATCTGGGAGGTTTGTTTTTTTTTAATGCACACAGAACTGGGGTACGGGCCAGAGGTGCAGGGGCGGTGAGAGGGTTCCCCAGAGACAGAGCGGGGAGCAGAACAGGCAGATGGACAAAGTCCACTGCTGAGGGGAGCAGCGGGGAGACAGGAGAGGTCTGCCGCGCCGCGTGGGTCACCTCCGGCGGGGGATTGAGCTGGCGCGGGGGTGGATTCACCCTGTTGGGCCGCCAGTGCATTTCAGTGGCTCTGCCTGTTGCTGCTTCATCTCTGTACCCTCATTCCGTACGACTTCCCAGCGTGCATTCTTTTCTTCCTGTTCTGTGTCCCTGGTCTTTCCTTCAAATCTTGCCCCAACACTTCTTCCAGGACCCTCCCCAGGTCATCTTGGGTCCCCTAATCCGCCAGGAAGCTCAGGCCCCAAATGCAAGGAACAGGCATTTCTAACTCCCTGTGCAACTGTACTGGCCTTCAGACTAACGCCCCCTCACTCCCCCAGCAGTCCCAGCCACCCACTGACTCTGACTCCCCCACCGCTTGGCACCCCAGTGCCGCCCACCCCCCGGCCACGGGGCGGTCACTGTGGCCCGGCCCCCCACCCCCGCCTGGTCTCTGCACTTCCTGTCCTCTCTGTGTCCTCCATGCGGG